GAGGGGGAAACCTGGGAGGAGGGAGCTGGAAGGGGTGTGATCAGGGGAAGAGAAGGGGAGGGGTGTCAAGTGAGGGGGAGGGGCCTGGCCCGGAGAAGAGAAGGGGAGGGGTGTGAAGCGAGGGGGGAGGGGTATGATCAGGAAAAGAGAAAGGGGAGGGGTGTGAAGCGAGGGGGGAGGGGCATGATCAGGAAAAGAGAAAGGGGAGGGGTGTGAAGCGAGGGGGGAGGGGCATGATCAGGAAAAGAGAAAGGGGAGGGGTGTGAAGCGAGGGGGGAGGGGCATGATCAGGAAAAGAGAAAGGGGAGGGGTGTGAAGCGAGGGGGGAGGGGCATGATCAGGAAAAGAGAAAGGGGAGGGGTGTGAAGCGAGGGGGGAGGGGCATGATCAGGAAAAGAGAAAGGGGAGGGGTGTGAAGCGAGGGGGGAGGGGCATGATCAGGAAAAGAGAAAGGGGAGGGGTGTGAAGCGAGGGGGGAGGGGCATGATCAGGAAAAGAGAAAGGGGAGGGGTGTGAAGCGAGGGGGGAGGGGCATGATCAGGAAAAGAGAAAGGGGAGGGGTGTGAAGCGAGGGGGGAGGGGCATGATCAGGAAAAGAGAAAGGGGAGGGGTGTGAAGCGAGGGGGGAGGGGCATGATCAGGAAAAGAGAAAGGGGAGGGGTGTGAAGGGAGGGGGGAGGGGCATGATCAGGAAAAGAGAAAGGGGAGGGGTGTGAAGAGAGGGTATGAGGGCATGAGGAATTATATCATTTTAACTGCTGTTAAAGGGGTGTGCTAGGCTTCACTTGCTCCACCTCTCCTCTACCCCTCTCCCCAGATTTCACCCCACTCCACTTTTTCCCTCGAGGTTCTGCTCTTTTGCTGCTTGTTCCCACAACTTTGCCCCTGCTCTGCCTCTTCTCCCCAATGCCTTGCCCTCCATCATTCACTCTTCTGCCCCCCTTCACCCAATTGCTCACTGGATTGTCTCTCACACACACACAGATACACACACCCTGGATCGACACACTTTGCTCCAAGACTTGGACAGAAGCTGCTGCACTAGGACAAGGTGCCTGTGTGTAGTTAGGAGGTAGCCCTGACTAAGCAGGGACTGGCAAAAGGTTAATGACATGGTACCACTGCCAGCCCACAGTGCCTTTGGAGTTTTTATAGTCAGTCAGTATGTCTGATTGGACAGTGTCAGTGGTTCCCCTTTTCACCTAGACCTTCCCTACGCGTATGTCTTTAGTCTGTTCAGTTGCTGGACTAATTAGGAATATTGGACATTTGAACTGTATTGCATAGTAGTGAGAAGTTAGCTCAGTCATATGGTGGTGTTCCCCACTTCCATGATGACCTCAAAGGTGATTACCACCATCTTGGCCAAAACATGAGAGATTAATCCAGGGACTTCTAATGCTGGAAGTATAAGTAGCTACATTATGGCTACAGAGCCATGGCTCTCTAGCTGGGGTTGTAGATATTCAGCCTTCTGAATCTAGCAGAGAGGTACCTGAAACATATTCCTCAGTGGCTTACATAAGCATGTCAGATATAAATATTATTATTTGTTTTGAAATTATTCAGAATGTGTCCAAAAGCAAATACTAAAAGCGGCACTAAAATGGGCCACATATATTTGAATATTATTTCATTGGGGAAGTTGAATTTGCACACTTGTAGTTTACTACCCTTCTTCTTCTACAAATGGCTACATTTAAGTAATAGCATGGTTGGAGGTGGTTTGTGAAGCAATTAATATGTGTGAAGGTGAAAGGTAGTAAATGAAACACTAATCTGTTGCCCCTAAATAATTAACAATTATAATAAAGCAGTAATTCATTCCTTTTATTTTTGCAAACTAAAAAGATGCACACTTCAGTGAATACCACTGCCAGTCAAGAACATGTAAATTACCAGCTAAAGCTGTGATATGCCATATTTAAAATATTGTACATTAAATATTGTTGAGAACGTGTAAAGCTATTATTTTGATACCACTAAGTGCTTCAATACAAGTGGGTTTAATTAGATTTGTAGGGAGCAAAAATCCATGTGTTCCTTTGTCCCGAAGTTCAAAGGTAAACGAATACTTAATGCCAAGGTCATAAGCCCAGTCATCTGAACCTCCAGGAGCTAAATCTATAGGAGAAAGAGAAGGAAACATATTATTACCTGAAGCCATGGCCTAAGTCCTACACACAATGTGACATTGTGGTAGAAGAGAGGATATTCGGTCATATGATTACAGTACTAAAAGTGATACTTACAGATAGTTTGTGCGCCAGGGCCAGATTCATAAATTTTGTGAGTTGTTGTTCTGATAACATCAGCCACTCTGTTTGCCACAGATAACTGAAATCAACAAAATATTAATGTTTATAATGTAACACTGTTTTACTCTGACTCTGTTAGGGCATTGTATTCATCAACTATGGGTACAATAAAGAGAATATGTTTACAACATGGTTGTCCCGAGACCTGGCTGCATTGCATTTTATAATGTGGACATGAAGATGTTGTTAAACATGGTTAGGTTAAAAATGAGTAATCCTGTGTTACCTTAGGGTTCGTCTATCTACACTGTGCACTTATTTCAAAATAAGGTATTCCAGAAGAAATACTTTGAAATAGCTTATTTCAAAATAACACGTCTACATTACAGGGAAACCTCAAAATTAGCATGAGGGAGGCTTCCCTAATGTGGACATGCTACCTCAATTTAGAGCCCCAGGAGGCACTGGTGAGTAATCACTAGTTACTCATTCTGGTGACTGTCCCTGGGGAGGAGCTATTTTGGAATAGCAACAGTGGAGAGTCCACACTACTACTATTCTGAAATAGCTATTTCAGAATAGGCATTATTCCTTGTGGAATGAAGTTTACAGAAGTCGGAATAAGGAATTGCTATGTAGACGCTCTCATTGTTATTTCAACGGCTGTTATTCTGAAATAACACTGCTGTATTGATGCATCCTAAGGCTATGTCTAGACTGCATTGCTTTTTCAGGATACTAGAAGTCCAAGGAATGCGTCTGCTTTTTCGAAAATTTTCTCGAAAGAACAGACGCATTCTTTCATCATCCCTGTAAAAGTTGTTCTATGAGGAATAAGGGATGGCTCAAAAGAGCACTTTTTTCCGAAATGTGGTGTTGTGAAGACGCGCCATATTTAGGAAAAGCCTCTTTCTAAATTAAATTAAATATGCAATTTGTCTGGTGCAAATTGCGTATCTTTTTCCAATTTAAGAGTGCAGTCTAAACTTAGCCTTCGGGACTAACTCTCTCTCTCTCTTTATGTGTACGCGCAGACACATACACACAGCACGCATAGTATCTATGCTGTGACTGGACAGCAAACTATCACCAAATACATTGTTCTTTGTATATTTTTTATTTCCTGTCAAATATTGTTGAAGTAACATTTAACTATTTTAAATTAAAGTTAATGTGGAAGCATAAATAAAAAAGAATTTAATAACAAGCTGTGCACTGCTCTTGAACAATGAACTAGAATTAGTTTACAGGATGTTACATCTCTGCTTCACAGAGAAGAAGGTGATAAATCTATATTTTTATCTTGTTTCATAAATGTATTAGCTAGAATAAAAACATCTAAAAGGGATATAAACCCTCAACTTTCAGGCCCGAAGATGGTCACCAATTGAGGGGGCTTAGGGAAGAAACTGAGAGCAAGTTATTTCATGACTGCTGCAGGATTTTTTCTCTCTCTTTTCTGTGAAAGATTTGGCACTGGTCACTGCTAGGAATAGAATACTGGAGTAAACAAACATCTGGTATGATCAAATATAATAGTTTCTATGTACCAACACTGTCATTTACAAAGTCTGTTAATTTTAAAAAAAAGCTCACATTAAAGAGACAGTAACAGATCATTTTAAAATATTTGTTAGCAACCTTAGATCTTTGTGGAGAAAAAAGAGATGGAAATGAAGGCTGGATGCAAAATGGAGGAGTAATTCCAAAAACCCATGTTGCTTCCTAGCCCCATGCGAGGTATGCTGTGGCATAAAGAATGTCATGAGACTGCCCAGGAAGGTTGTGGAAGCTCCTTTAACTGGAGGTTTTCAAAAAGAGGCAATCTGTAGGGTTGCCAGATGGTTTCAACAAAAATACCGGACACACTTGACATTACATCACAATCTACATTACATCTTATTTAGAAAATACTGGACATTTATATTTTCTCATTTATATTTTCTAAATTTGTTTCCTGAACAGAAAGCTCAAATACTGGACTGTCCAGTTCAAAACTGGACACCTGGTAACCCTAGCCATCTGTTTTGGATGGTTTTAGACACAACAAATCCTGCATCTTGGAAAGGTGGTTAAACTAGATGACCCTTGTAATTCCTTTTAACTCTAAGAATCAGTGTTTACTCTATTGATGTCCTGTGTCTCCACTTAGCAAGTCCCATGGAGAGAAAAACCTTTTTCCATTCTGTCAGACATTTCCTAATTCTTCCCTGGTCCAATGCAGGTTGCACTTGGAGTAAAGAACCCCTGTCCCACTTTCCGATGCATGGAAAGCATCAGGAAATTGGCCAAATGGAACAGAGAACTTGTGGGGCTTCTCTTCTTACTCCTTACCCTGGGAATTCTTGTTAGACTCTTCAGACACCCAAGTAGCCTAATTAGCCTGCACATACTGGCTAACTCCAACTTAGCCTGGATCATTTTTACAATCAAGATAAATCCATAGGCTTGCAGGCTAACCAGTAGTAAAAAAGAAGACGGTGTTCTTCACTTTCTATCGATTAATAGAAAGGGAGGTGATCCTATACAACTAGATTCTGCAGGGGTGAGGAGCCCTGATTATGTGGACCTCCAGAACTTCATAGAACTGGGTCTTCCTTTAACCAGGCCTTAGAAGATCTTTAACCCCAGGACCAGCAGACAACCTCATGACCTACAGAATCAAAGAGGCATTTGTCTTCCATGGGCTACCTGTGATCTGCTGGTCGTCTTAAGGAACAGAGGGTCTGTAAAATAAGTCTTTTCTCTATCACACCATTAAGACCATTTAAAATAATTGCCATTGAAAACGTTTTAATTAAGGTTTCAGTTAAGGCTGCAGGTATATATCAATATTACCAGTGCACATCCTTCAAGAGCAATATAGTTAAAGTTACAGACTCAGTAGGTCCAGATATGGGGGAAAATTAGAAGAAAGCTGAATGTATGGAAATGCTTTATTAAGGTGCCCAAGTTATCTTCACTTTGCTCTCTAAGCAATGCCTTGAAAATATGAGAAAGGCTGTCTTATCTATCCATCCATCCATCCATCTTATTAGTCAGTGTCTTTCAAAACCAGAATACTTTCTTATAATCATAATTCTTGTGCCTAAATCCAGCTTCCTTGTGCTCTTAATACCCCTATCAAAAATTCTGTTTCCCAAATCTTGAACAGACTAAAAGCCTACTGAACACAGTCATTCCCGCTTTTCAGTAAATGTCCTGTCTTGCAAAGTGATGAAAATGAGAGATACAGATCACGCATAATAAATGGTAACACTAACCAGCTCATCATGGTCTTTACTTTTATTCTCAGTATAGGAATATGGAAACAGAACCATCTGTGAGTAAGAGTGCATAGTTATATATGCCTTAATGTGATTTTTATTCTTTTGGAGAAAATTAGCCACAGCTTTTACTTCTGGTTCAGACTCAGGGTAGGGCCCACAGTATATCTCACGACAATCATCATGAGAGGCACCTTTACCTGTAATAAAGCAGAGTATACATTATCACCTGTTGAGTTCTTACACACTGAATTGTCTCATGGCCCAGTGACAAAATAAAGCATTAGAATGCTATACAAGTGAACATAGCATCTGGGACCCCCTTGGATGCATCAATACTACATTTATCATTATTGCACCATCGGGTCTGATTATCTAATGCCTTGCACCAGTTGTAAGTTTAAAAAAATTGGGGAAGGTACAGAAAAGGGGCAAAAAATTATTTAAGGCCTGGAGTAAATGCTGTACATTGAGAGACCTAAACAGCTCAATATGTTTAGCTGATCAAAAAGAAGTTTGAGAGGTGACCTAATTACAGTTTAACGTACCTTCATGGGGAGAAAATATGGTTGCTTTAATCTAGCAGAGAAGGGTATGACAAGAACCAATGGCTGAAAACTGAAGCTATACGAATTCAAATTGGAAAGAAGTGACACATTTTGAACACCAAGGGTAATTAGCCGTTGGAACAAACTACAGGCAGTCCCCGACTTACGCGGATCCGACTTATGTCGGATCCGCACTTACAAACGGGGTTTTTCTCGCCCCGGAGCTCACGGGCGGCGGGTCACCACCCGTGTCCTCCAGAGCGAGAAAAGCTTCTCCCGGTCTCCCTGGTCTGCTGGGGGGGTCCAGCAAAGCCGCTGGACCCCCCCAGCAGACCAGGGACACCCGAGCAAAGCCGCCGCCTGGGCGGCTTTGCTCCCGGGCAAACGAGCA